TTTCCTGGGGAGGAAGATCACAGAGCTCTTTTGTCGCCTGTGCCCAGCAAAGCTGCCTGCTCTTCTTGTGTCCTACCTCCTCACCCCAGGCAGGCCCACTGCTCACCAGCCTGCCTCGCAGCAACGCCGCTGCCCGCTCCAAACCTCCACAGCCTGCAAAAAAGCAGCCTTTGAAGTTAACATCCCATTAAAATGAATGTTGTGGGATGCTTAAAAAGCAGGCGCAGTCTGGGGAGGGAGACTTCAAAGGAGGCAAAATACAGTGGCAGGAATGGTGCTGGAGGCAGCAGAGCTGCCAGGACAACACAGACCCATGGGGAAGCTGGCTGGGACCGCTGGGGCAGCCACACGTGGGGTTGGTGAGAAGTGTGCCCACCCGTGTCACTTATAAGAAATTTGTTATTGCAATTCAAACTCCATTCATCAAGGATGCTCATTCAGAAACCACATCCACTCTGGAGGTGCCCGAAGGCAGCATCATCAGCCCACGGGCAGAGTGCCCTGCACTGACCCATGGGGTGGGGCCAGGGTCTCGGCTTTAACCCACGCTGGTTTTTACTTCCCCAAGTTGAAGGGAAAGGGGGGAGGAAACAGTCTATAAACTTCTCGGTGACTGCTTGTCCTGGTTTCGTCAGGGATCAGGGCAAGCAGCTGGTGTATGCTGAACTACACTGATGCTCACACCCCTCATCCCCTCCTCACTGTGTGACCGCATCCCCAGCCCCAAACACAAGGCAAGAATGTTGGTCAGCACTTTCCTGGCAGGGATTTTGGCTGGCCAAAACCCATGTGGAGGGAGAGAGGCTGGGCCCCAGGCACAGAACCATTTTTTTACATTCCCAACTTCAAAAGAAATTGAAAAAGCATCCTTTAAAAAAAAACAAAAACAAACCCAAACTCAAAAAAAAAAAAAAAAAAAAAAAAAAACTCATCCCCTCCTCACTGTGTGACCGCATCCCCAGCCCCAAACACAAGGCAAGAATGTTGGTCAGCACTTTCCTGGCAGGGATTTTGGCTGGCCAAAACCCATGTGGAGGGAGAGAGGCTGGGCCCCAGGCACAGAACCATTTTTTTACATTCCCAACTTCAAAAGAAATTGAAAAAGCATCCTTTAAAAAAAAAAAAAAACAAACCCAAACTCAAACGGTTTTTCTGCATTTCATATTTCATTTGCACTCTTGGCCATGTTATGGAAATTATTTCAATCCCTTTGTAACCAAAACCACCCTAATCCTATATAAGCAAGGTCTTCAGGGACCAGTTGCAAAATTTCTTGTAACCAGGGGTCTGCTCTTGCTGCCACCTTACATCAAGCCTGCAGCTCTTGGCTCTTGTGGTTTCCATGCTGTGCTCTTGGGCTGGGGAATGCTCCTAAAGCAAGGGAAAAATAGAGCAGCAAGCCCTCAATTCACCATATAGCGGAAACTGCATTGGGTCTGTGGTATAGCAGTGCATAACAACTATATTCTGTGTTACAAGCTACAGGGTCAGAGAAATGCTTGGAAACTATGTTCAGCAGAGACCTTCATCGTATATAATCTCTCAGTCCAGATACTATAAGGGAAGGGATGTACTGCAATTTCCCAACCAGGGAAACTGAGGCACATGCAGAGAGAGCAATTACATAGCAAACCTGTGTGTGAGCTAGGATTAAAACTAAGCTCTGCAAGGTCCTGCTGTCCTACCACACCAGCTTAGTGCCAGGAAGAAACTCTGCCCCGTCTCCATGAAATCCGCTATGGGCTTTGCTGCTTCTTTTAAGAATAAACCCCATAGATCCATACCTCGTCATTCAGCTGCCATAGGAAACCTGCAGCCATTCCTGCAGGACTGCATTAGGAAACCTCCGTGGGTCTGGCTTGTGGGAGAGGACTTGAGAAGTGCCGCAGGAGTAGCCACCATCTGAGTGCCTTGGCAGGCTTTGACGAATGCCGTGCTGAGCCCCTCTGGGCTTAAAGGATCATAAACATGAAGCATGACCTTGGGAGCGTCCCTTAAAGCACAAAATTGTTATGGAAAAGCTATCTATATAATTTAAGAGGGGACAGAGCCAGAAGGGCTCTGGTGACTCATTTTATAGCTCCTGAAGGCAAGCAGGGCAGTGCTTCCCCTTTCGGTGTATGACGAGCTGGAAGATCAGAGCCAGCCCTTCTGGGGGCCCAGGCACAAGGCACTGGGTTTAGTGGGACACTTCAAGATGGGCTCTCCAGAAACAAGGAGAAGGAGGAGGCAGCCACCATGAACGGTCTGGCTGCAGTGATGTGGCAGCACTGGGTAGCAGAGGAGGAAAGACCATCCTGCAGGTTTTGGGGGGTATTATCCATCTTCCTCAGCCAGGAGCTGATCCTCCCTCCCCCTGCAAGATTCAAACTGTGCAGTGAGCAAGGACCAGGTTTGTGATATGAGGATCACAAGCCAGATTCAGAGTATAATTTCTCCAATATACGTAGTGCTCTTTTAAGCAAACTGAGAAGCCACTGAAGTCCCCTCACCTTATAAAGCTCCACATGGGATGCTATCAGGTTTTTAGCACAGTACTGCTCTGTTCAAGTGACCTGGAGGGGGTAACTGAGGAGCAACAGGTTGGGTGCAGACATCACACACCTTATCACTTCTCTGCCTGCAGAGGACATGTTTCCATACATCCCACCACTGAAGTGTGTCCCTCATGCAACGAGCAGATGCCCATCTCCTTCTGTTATGTGTTTTCAAAATTGCTACTTAGAGCCAGATTTTCAAAAGCAGTCAGCATCCAACATCCCAAAGGTCCAGAGAAGAAGAAACAGAGCAAGTAGGTCACACAGAGGGGGTTTCTCATCTTGTGCACTTCTTTCCTTCTCTCGTGCTGACAGATTTGGTCTGTGAATGAGCGGGTTTTACTCTTTGATGTCAATCTTATACAGAATATGTGGTAAGAACAACAAGCAAAATGTTACACAATGTGAACTGAAACACAAGTACATGTCAAGATGGGGAGAATAACCCCTTCATGGCCAGGTATAGCAGCTTCCTTTGGGTGACCTCTGTATCTGGTCATAATATTGCTCCATCAGCTGAGATAGGCTGCTTTAATGTTCAGTGGATAATCACAGAAAGTAACAGTGGAAGACAGCCTACCAGATCATCTGCTCCTGCCAGGGCTGGTAACCGGGCATTAGCCAAGCGATGGTTGAACAGCAGCCACATCTGCCCACCATGACCCTGGTCCTGGTGCCCTGTGTGGGATGGGAAAGGATGGGTTAAGCCTGGGAGCATGGGAGGGGACCTGGCAGAGCCATGCCAGAGCCCTGGGTCACAGCAGCGCTGCCGTCCACAGGGTAGACCGTGCTCAGTGCTCATTCATCTCACCGTAACAGGGAAGCCAAAACACCCTGTTAGCACTGAGCTGCTGTGAAATTCCCATTTTTCCAGTTGGCCAGAGCCAAAAGAGCTGCTGGAAACCAGAAAGGACCAGTGGAAACGAGATCCCGTACTGCAGCAGCAGCCGGAGCAGGGCGTCTCACCCTGGGTTAAAGACATTGGCTTGCAAATGGCCGGCTTTGCTCTAAGAGCAGCTTTGTGCTGATCTCTGCAGTTTTGGGTGGGATTTAAAAAATCAGTGGAAATAGATCAGCTCAGTATTGCTTTCTATCTGGTTTCACCTTGTTTTACATGGCAGCTGGGTTCAGAGAAGAGCAGGGGACAGCAATTTGTCATGTAGCTGGCAGTGATCATCCTCCACCCCTTGCTGGAGAAAAAAAATTGAAAAAAGAAACTGAGCTTAAAGGTTGCCCCCAGGCTCAAGCAGAAAATCGCTCCATGGTATCTTCCTCCTCCCTGTATTTTATTTTCCTCTCCTGAGTCCCTCCCCGGCTAGGGCTGCGGCAACACCAGCATCAGGAAAGGGGCAGCCTGTCATCTGTCAGACGTGCGCATACACAAACCACCACCACTCGCACACACCAAGCAGTTAAGCTTCCCTAAGTGGTCCTGGGCAGCCTGTCAAGTCCCAAGCTCGTCTGCAGAATGTGGTTGTAATTAGATAATTAATAACTTTGAGAAGGAAAGGAAAGGAAATAAGCTAAATAGAAGCTTTCCTTAGTGGGAGGAAATAATTATATCTGCTTTTTGATATATGAGCTGAGGTGGCTTTCTGAAAGCAGAAACAGCATCTCGCCTGCAAAGCCATCTCTCCCCCTAGTTAGACGGCATCTCCCATGGGCACTGCTGGGTCACAGAGTCTGTCCCACCAGCCCACAAATGAGCAGCAGCAGGTTGCTGCAGATCAGAGCAAACCCCACAGGTAACAGGGCTCCCCAATGTGTTGCTGCGTCTTGTCACATCCTGATAAATGGGGCAGAGGAGAGACGATATGCAGGGATGGGTCACCAGGAACTGTGTGGAAAATAGGGGTTTGGCACAACATCCCTCAGAGCTGGAGACGCTGCTGGCAGCATATGGACTTTTTGATGGATACATTGCTCCTGCCTATGGATTTACCATTTCACAGTAAGATGCAAAAAAAGGCTGTGGCATTACCAGACTCAGAACTTAGGCTATACATCCAAAAGTCAAAGGAACTGTTAAGTTTAGGTTCCTTTTTTTGTTGTTTTTGGATGTGCTTAGATATTGCATAAATATGTTACCACTGGATGGAAAGAAAACGTATTTGTTTCCAGCAGGGTTTGCCTGATTTTGCAGGAGGACCTGAGAGTCACTGTGGGTAGGGTTTCTAAAGCCCATCTCAGGCACGTGAGCATCCGATCTCCCTGTTTCACTTGCTTAAGGAGTGGTGAGGGCTGCTCCTGGTGCATTGGATCTCGCTCAGCTGCTGGGTTAACCGTGTGCCTCCACACTGCTGGGACCAGGAGCAGGTTTCAACACGTGGTTGAAATCAGGGTGGTTGAACCACAGCCTTGATTTGTAGGGGAAAAGAACTTATGAGACAACATATCTCAGCAAGATGTCCTGTATTTGGTGTATTTATTTTTCTTTTCTTTTTTTTTTTTTCTTCTCTCCAGACTGTCCAGTGTCTGGGACTGAAGTGGAATTGGGATGTATCCAAGTTTGTAGCTTCTGAAACCTTAACAACCTCAAGTAAACTGGTCCAAAAGACCCCTCTTGACCTCCCTCGCTCTGAACTCTTGTGGACCACTTAGACTGAGCAGAAAACAGCACCAAAGCTAATGGTCTGAACCTTTGCAACATCTCTCCCCAAGCGACTGACCAAAGATAAAAGAGAAGCAACATTCCTGGTTGTTCATTGTTGTTGGGTTTTGTGTCTGTCTGTCTGTGCATTTGGTTTTATTTCTAATTTTTTTTTTTTCTGAAAAATCTTAATTCAGGAATACATTTATGAGAAATCTTTGGGTTTGGATTTTACTTCCCCTTAGCTGTATTCTTTTTTGGTAATTTTTGTCTATTTTTTAAAATTCAAAACCTGATTTCTTGTACAGTAATGTCAAAACTGGACCAAGGCTCTCAGAAAAAAAAAGAAGAAAAAAGCCCACCATGTTCCCAGCTCCCTGCATGATTTGTTTCAAGTACAGCCTGGATTACAGACTGCCCTCCACAATCTACCGCCTCTTCCTTATTGCTCCATGATTTGCTACCGCTCACCCCCCCCTTTTTTTTTTCATTTTCTGTTCCAGTGTATATGTTGCTTATTTGTTTTATTTATTGAGATATTTTTAACGAGCTAAGAGACTGCAATGTTGCTGTGTATACTGCTTCTCTTGCCAATAAAAATAAAGATGTCATGCAGCTACCGGGGGTATGAGGTTTACATTCTTGACTGCACAGCTCTGAACAGAAGCTGAGCCGCTTTCTTGCACCCCACAATGTTTTGGCACTCACTGATTTGGCTAAAATCTGTTTCCCAGGTAGTGGGTGATGGGGTGCAGAAGGTATGAGTATCACTTGTCCAGGCTGATGTCTGCCTGCATATACCAGAAGTAGTTGGTTATTTACTTGCACCCTGGCTAAGGAGGTTTGCTCAGGCTGCAGGTGCTGCAGAGGAGGCATGCACCTCTTCAGCACTGTGGTCTCCAACGCACTGCTTGACTGGCTTCTGCTCTCAGCAGAGCCCTTTATTAAGCAAAAGGCAACATACCTCGGTATGCATCAGACCCACTGGTCTGCACGCTTGCCTTCAGCTAGAGTAACAAGTTGGTCACGGTTGCTGGTGGAAATGCCAAGGGCAAGCATTTCTCAAAGAGGGGCTGCATGCTGCTGTGCGAGGTGCTGCATGAACACATGGCAATGGAAAAGCTGTGCCCATGACCCAGAGAGGCCTTTGCCTATTGTGCCCAGAAGAGATGCATAACCTACAAAGCCAGTTGCACTACAGAAATGGTCACCCAGAGTCGTTGATCTGCTCCTCCTTCCTACTTACTTTCCACCCTGCAAACAAACACTGGTGAGCTTTGCTAGTGCTCACTAACCTTCCTCCACTGTCTTGCAGAGCCCCGACAGACCCTCAGTCATACACATGCTGAATCCAGGTTTCAATTTCCAGGTCATAAATAACACGTGTAAAAATAATTCATTCTGAAAAAAAAATTAAAAAAAAAATCTTTTAAAGAACAATCACAGTGGATCTGGAAACATGGGGCTAAATTATCCCAAATGACCTTTTGTTCTCACACCCTTTCCCTGCTGGATTAACAGCAACATTGGTTAGCTTGAGAGCGTCTAGGCTGCAACACTGAGGTGACAGAGAGAGACTGATTAAAGGGCAGGTCTCTGGCAAAGGCAGTTTGGGAGCCTCAGCGTTCGTTATTGGGATTGTCAACTCAGCTTTGCAAAGCAAGAGGCAAAACAGATCTTTTTAATAAAGATCTGCTCAGAAATTAGCAGGGAGTGATGTATTGGCAGGGGGGGAAGAAAAGATGGTGAAGGACAATCAACTCGGGGGGGGGGGGGAAAAAAGCTTTGGGTTCTTGAAGGGGGAAGCAACGCTGTGGTGTCTAGAGCCATTAAAAAATAAAAATAATGTATCCATCTAAACCAGCTTCAGGAAAAAACATTTTAATATGCCAAATCAAGAACATACATGTGTGTATCAGATGCATTAATTGCCTGATAGATTTCAGAGCTTGAACGTCAAATGTTTATTTTAAAACAAGCACAGTTGCATACAGTAAAATACATCACATCCATTCTTAAAAGTAAATGACATATCAGTCTGGGCTTTTGGTACCAGCAGAGCCAAAAATAGCATTTAAGAAGGTGAATTTAACAGATGTCATGCGATGCAGCATGACATGCAGCAAACAGAATTTCTTTTTCCCAGGATGTGTTTGTTTTTGTGTTAATTTCTGCAATTTTGTGAATCTTTAACGATGCTCCAGATTGCGCCAAACTGATTTCACCACAAGGATTGACATTTTTCCGAGCATGGACACCCAAATCCAAGTTCAGCCTTATTAATGGCCTGCCAGAAGAGCCTGTTGTGCTGCTCTGCTCCCCCAGGACACAACCAGGACCAGGAGGAGATGGTCAGACCTACCCAAGCTACAGGTCAGATGTGTGCAGCCGTAGCAGTGCCACCATAGCTGCCATGTGCCTTCCTTAATGCTACAAATGCTGAACCCCATGCTCCAATACCATGAATTAAGGTTCTGTCATGGTAGATCAAAACATTTGATCTCTCCCTCTGCAAAGTGTACTAGCAACTACTAGTGAAAATAAATGCTCACAAGCACCTGTTGGTATCTCTTCCACAAATTCTGGGGGTTAGCCAAAGCTTCTGTGGGTGAATGGCCTTGGAGAGGTAGATTTGGAGCCCAGAGATATGATACAACTTTTTTTTCAGGCAGAAAAAGTAGTAACTGTAAAAGCTGGTCAGGCCAGTCAGAAAACAGCCATGCCACGGGGCTCGGATGAGTGGTTACAGTTCCCAAGGGGAGAACCGAGACTATCAAAAGCTCCAAAAAGTCCTGACAATTTGAGACCTGTAAACTCTCTGGATTACAGATTTTTAACAGAAAACACATTTGAATTGATGAAGAGAGAGACACGTGTTTCAATCAGCTGCTGAAAAGGCTTTTCATCTTGTATGAGTTCATCTTGCATGAGCTGCAGCCCATAGACAGCAATGTGGGTCAGTTAGGAAGAAGCCAAAGTAAAGGTAAAACCCAGACCCTAGAACTGCAGCTGTGTTCTCATGTGCAGGACATAACATAGATGTATTTACTTTTCTTTTTCGTGTGTAGGAGGTTTTTTTCAATAGCGTTTATCACACCATTCACCCTAAAGGTGATTGAATTTGTCCTTCCCAATCCCACCCCTGCATGAAACTCCAATGCCCTGTGAGAGATAAAAAGATGTGCCTGAGGGCAGGGACAGACTGTCTTGTGCAAAAGAGAATGAAAAAAAAAAAATCCCTTAATGCAGCAGGCTCAGCCACAGGTGATAAATCCCGACAACAGGGTTGCTCCTCCATGGCAGCACACATGCACACACGGAGCCTGGCTAAATATTGGTCCTGGACCATTTGGTCTCTGTGTACATGAAAGGCTACAGAAAGCACCCAGCACATGCTATTTTGTGCAGGGGTCCGGCTAACAACAAAGCAAAATATTCACTGGAAAGAAGCCAAGCACGGAGGTGGTGATGTAAAGCACACTGATACTTTTTTTTATTTTTATTCTTTTACTCAATCCCAGCTCAGCTTAGCACCACCAAGTCCCCCCATTTTCAAAAGGGGGAAAAAAGTCTTCAGCTGCCACTCACATTTTCAGCTAGAGTCCTTGATACAGACCAAATGAAAAAACAATAGAAAAACCCCAACTAACAAATCCAAACCCCAAGTCCCACCCCTTAGGATCTCTTTTCTCCCTAGCCTCCCCCAAGGCCACCCCATTTTCATGCAACTGAGGAACGCTGACAGCAAGGAGGGATCAGGGAAGGGGGGAGCGCTGATGATTTTTCCCAGGGATGCTTGTAAACTTGGAGTCCTTGCTTGGCTGGGACCACCCAGGCACTGTTTCTGGGATGGCGAATTCAGCCCCCCTCAAAGGGTGACAGTAAAGAGAAGTCTATGTTGGTTAGCATTGTCTCAGTACTGAGACCTCAGCTAGGGGAGCTTGCATCTCACCCAAACCTGGGAGAGGAGGGAGCCCGTGAGCCTTTGGGGGCACCCATATGCAGTCAACTGTATGATCAGGATAATGATAAATCTATTTACTGCTGTTACAAAGCATAGTGACAAAGTGGCCTTTATCAGGGTTAAACATAAAGATAAAAATTGTACCCAGAAATCACAAGTGATGTGAAAATGCTGTTGCCCGAGACTTTTGCTGAAACTAATCTCGCATGTCACCTGGCCAGGCTTGAGGAGCAAAGCATTGCAGGTGGTCGTTCGCCATATGGCACAACTCTTGTTCCAGCACAGACGTGGCTTCCATCTGTTCTGCCTAGCTTTGCTTACAGTGTTGGCCAGAAATGCCCTCAGGTATTTTGAATGAAGGCTCTGTTCATTGCTGGATTCAGCCAAACATGGATCTCAAAAACCACAGATGACTTCTGGATGCTTGGACTTTGGAGATCCCTTTCAAAGTGCTCACTGAGAGGAGAGATTACAATTACAGATAGCAAGAAGCAATGGCCACCACCCCAAGAAATCTTCACCAGTGTTTCCCTAGGACTCCCCACCTGGCTGGCCAATACACGCAGTGGTTTGGGAGGAGCAGACCCTTCCCTTGAGGCCCTCCTCCATCTTCTTCAGGCAGACAAAACCTCTTCCAGCAGCTGCTTCAGCAGCAGATGGACTGCTGGAAGCCATGAAAGGCAAAAGGAGAGGTCAAGCCCAGCAAAAGTCCCTCTTCCACAACCCATCCCTTCATCACTCAGGCATGCTCTCTTCAAAATGCTTTAAAAATCATGAGTTTATGTCTCATCTTTAACCCTTTCTCCCACTTCTAGCACCAAATCAGTAGCCATAAGGTGGTCACCTAAACCCCAATAAGAAGCAAACGCCATACATTACCAGCATTTCACCCATGTTTTAATGGAATAATTCAAGCTGATGTAGGTTTTTCAGCTGTATCTTGATGTTTTTTGTGGTTTTGATGCCATTCCACTCGCCTTTGTAGTCTCAGAATTTGTTTTGAGCATGGTAAAGTGCACTCACCCCTTTTATGATTTCCTGTCTTGTTTCAGAGCCCTGCACTGAAAGACTTTAGTTGCCTCCTAAATC